GGGGTCTCCGCCTCAGCTCACGGCTCTGCCACGGCGCCTGGTGCCCTGAGTGCCACAGGGAGCAGCGACGGGGGCACCCCTTCCGGTCACCCTGCTGGCCTGCGCCCGGGCCCAGGAGAAGGGCCGGAGGGCGGGCAGGGTGCACATCAGGACAAAAGACAAAATGGGGCCGGGCCTATGAACCATCCCCAACCCGGGGCCCTGGAACGCCGCCCCCACCCCGGCTTTCTCTCAGGCCCCCACGTCTGATCCCCCTGAAAGAGGTTTGGGGCAGGGAAGCCCCAAGCCGGCTCCTGCTGTGGGCCTGCCCCACCGGGAGCCACTCCCACAGGAACCGGACAAACCCGCGGACCAGAAGCCAAGAGCAGCAGGGTCCGAACATGGCCCCGCCAGCCGGCCACTTCCTTCCGTCTGGAGGCCGGCCCTGCGCATCCTGAGCCTCGGGGCAGCCCCCGAGGGACCGCAGCCGCCTTCCTGGGCCACGTGTCCCCACCAGGCCTGCCGGGGACACGAGCCGACCCTGGGCCGTCCCTACTGGAGTGTGGAGGCCTGGTCCCTGGCCCTGCCCTCACCATGACAACAAACCACGACAACAAACCAGCCCTGGTTCCCGCCTGACCAACGGGGCAGGACATTCCGAGTCCACTGACCCGCGCCGTCCCCGGCGGCTCCGGCCTGAGTTTCATGGGCTGGGCTCCCGCTGGGCGAGAAACGCCCGGTGAGCAAGCTGGGCCCGCCGCCTCGGGCCTGCCCCTCCTCCACACCTTCCCTGCTGGGCAGGCGGCCACAGACGGGAACACAGGCCACGGGCACCCCAGTCTACGCGGACCTCAGCCTGCGCCTCCCCACCGTCAGCCCCGCCCTCCGTCCCAAAGAGCTTTCCACTCCCACGGCCACCCTCGCCCCGGGAGCACGCCGCCTCCCATTCAACCTTAGAGAAACCAGTGGCACCGCAGCTAAGGCACTTGCCCGGCCTGGCCAGTGTGTCTCAGTGGGTAGAGCAGTGGGTGGAGCATCGGCCGGCGGACCAAAGGGTCCCGGGTTTGATTCAGGTCAAGGGCTGGTACTTGGGTTGCAGGCTCCTCCCGGCACCTCCCCCCCCCTCTCAGGTGGGGCCTTGCGAAAGGTCTGCAGGCCAGGACTCCTCCTGCTGGCTGACCACAGCCCGGTAGGAAGGCCTCAGGGCACCTCAGCTTACAGCCAGCAAGGCCCGGACGCCCAGGGGCAGGACAGGCCACGGCCTGAGCGCCATGGGTCCCTGGACCGCCAAGGACCTGCCTCCGTGGGAGGGGGGAGCACAGACGAGGGGCAGACAAGGCCTCCTGCTGCCCAGGCTGAGCAGAAGCCGCCGGTTCCCGTCTCCACCCACCAGGCCCCGCGGGAGCAGCAAGGCCACGGCCTCACTTGGCTCTGGGGGAGGCAAACACCCCGCCGGACGGAGCTCTAGCTCCAGGGGGGGCGCCCCCATCCCCACGCCCAGATGCCAATTCCAGCCACGGCGCCGGCGCCCGGGAAACCCCCAGGTGGGCTGCGACCGCGACGTGTGACCGCCCCGCGCAGCCCCCTGGTGACTGCCCCCCGCGCGGCGGCGGCGAAAGCCTGCACATCCCATCCACAGACCCCTCAGCAGCGCGGGGGACCGGGGTCCTGGCTGCTGTCAGAAAACCTCCTCCCATCCAGAAACAAGAGGCACCAGCGACAGAACGGGCAGGACAGGCGCCCAGGAGCTTGAACGCGACCCCGGGCCACCTCAGGGAGCTGCCCCGGGGCACCTGGCCGGCGGCGCACCTGCACTGTCAGCCGGGAGCCGGGCGGAGCTCAGAGAGCCAGGTTCGGAGTGCAGACAAGTTTGGGGAAACCCTGCCCACTGGTTCCCGCGTATCTGACACGTGGTGACGCCCCTGCCGAGGGAGACCACAGAGCTGCTCGCGGCAGGTGCTGAGCCCGAGCGGGAAGCACCGCCCAGAGCAGCGCGTCTCCTCCTGGGGTCCGTGTCCTGGCATCTCAGGGGACGTGGGGTCAAGGCACCCATCCCAGCAGCTCACACTCGCAGCCCCCAAGGGGGTGGCAGGGCCGGGGTGCTGTCTCCCAGCCCAGGCCGTGGGACTGGCCGCACCAGGCGGCTCCGGAGTGTGAGGAGGAGGAGGAACCAAGGGCAGGGGCATGGCAGGGGCAAAGTTGAGGCCCCAAGGCCGCACGCTGTCCACTGGGCACCCTGTCTACTGCCCCCCACACCCCCGTCACCTCTCGGGAACAGGACTCAGTCTCCCATCAGGCCCTGCCTCCCACCACAGCCACTCTCCTCACAGGGTGGGGACTGTGAGTGGCAAGGCCAGCCTCGCCTGCCCCCTGCCTGGTCCCGCGGAGACGTTCCTGGGCTCCCAGCGCAGGACCCAGACCCGCAAACTGGGCGTGTCAGCCGGGCCCTGGCCTCCCTGCCGGTCTGCCTTACTCTGTTGGGGCGGGGCGGGCCCCCCTGCCTGCAGCGGTTCTCCCCCGTCCTGGGCAGCCCCCCAGCACAGTCCACGCCGGGTGGCGTAACGGGGGACTGTGCAGTCCTCAGGGGCTTCAGTGCGTTTTTCTCGAGCCTCAGTGCCCGGGGTCAGTCACAGGAGCCGACGGAAGCCCCAGCTCTGGGCACGTGCTCCAGGCGGGACCCACCAGGACGGGTGAGGCCAGGCCTCCAGACCAGCGTCCTGCACAGCCACACTGCCGTCCCCTCAGCAGCAGACACTGCACCTGCCACCACGGGGAGCCCACGCTCTCGGGGAAGCGGCTGGGCAGGAGCTGCTGAAACCGGGAGCTCGGACCTCAGTGCGGAGGGAAACCGCCTTCGCGGCCCGGCTGCTCCGCGAGGAGGGGAGCGGCACAGCTGCCGGAACTCTGCGGTGGGAAGGCCACCATGCAGCCACTCGAAAGAGGGATGCAGGGACAGCAGGCCCCACGTCTTATGGGAAGACGGTCCCCAGTGGGGGGCACCCTGGAAATACCTGCGCAGCAAAGCAAACCACGTGCCCGGCTGGCGTGGCTCGGAGCTGAGCGTCGACCTAGGAGCCAGGAGGTCCCGGCTCGATTCCCGGTCAGGGCACAGGCCCGGCTTGCGGGCTCCGTCCCCAGTGTGGGGTGTGCAGGAGGCAGCCGGTCCATGATTCCCTCTCATCACTGATGTCTCTCTCTCCCTTCCTCTCCCTGAAATCAATAAGAATATATTTTTTTAAAAAGCAAAGCACCACCCACACACTCACACAAATGCACGCGTGCTCACATG